AAAAGAACTAGAATCGTAACTAAAATCGTAGATTCAAAAAACGTAATTGTAACTTTCCCTATAAGGATCAATTTGTTTCACCTTTAAGAAGAATCAAAACCGTCAATTTTTAAACAAAAACTGATGATTCTAAAATGGTGGCCATGTCTACGTACCCATGCGTCTCTTATTTTAAACCAGTGGCATTACATTCTTTTAGAAACTAATTTGTGGACCCCGTCTCACGTTACCTTGTTACTCGGTTGTTTTCTGTAGGAATAATTTTAGAAACCTTCATGAGATTTTTGATCATTTCATTGGTCTCCCTTCATATTTTAAAAATTACACTAATCTCTCTTGAGGTTAATTATCTTGTAACACTTAGACCCAATCAATAATAAAAAAGTAATATTAAGAGAGAAAATAATATGATTTTATCATTGCCGCTCATCTTTTAAATTATTTAAATAATTTAATACCAACTCATACATTAAAGAAAAACACTAAAATTTACTGTTTATTATTAGGAATCAAATCATATATAGCATCAAAAAATAGTATACCATTCTATGTTTTTCACTTAATATAAAATCAATTACTCTTTTTAGTTATATGCATGATTAACAACAAATAATCAAAAAATTTGTAATCAAAATATTACAGAGAACAAACTTTAACATCATAAATATTTCGTCAGCATAAGGTTAGTTGTTAAGACTTTATGGTATTAAATATCACTCTTTGTAATACTTTGGCTACATGTTCTCTTGATTATTTCTTATTGATTATGTTTGACAATGAATTTGTAATTGAAAAGAGTAATTTGAATTTTACATTAAGTGGATAGAGTATTATTTGAAATAATTATTGTAATACTTTTTATGATGTGATATATGTGAAATAAAAAGATGAGTTAAAAAATATATTTACGTAAGTGAAATATTATTGAAAAAAATTGATATCCAAACATTTGATATCATATGTGATTTAAGCTCGCCAAATTTTGTGTTGATTTTACTGCAAACGGATTTTATGAGATCTAGGCATTGTGACCAGCGACGCTGCATGCCACAAATTTCGTCAATAATGTGGGGTATTAATGAGGTCAGTTTTGCACTTTGCTCCAAAAAGAAAAAGCAGAGGCAAATGATGGAAAATTGACTTGTTGAGAATGGGGTCTTGCACCATAGTTCTTTTTCCGCCTATATACGTGTCTTGGTTTTGTTCCGTGGAAAATTGATTGTTTCCTGCCCACACCAAGAAAGAGACTATACTATTAGCAGTATCATCACCACCCGCCAATAAATTTCTGCCAACACACAAACGCAGCAATCAAGGTGGTAATTGATAAGAATGCAACTCAAAACTAGGGATATAATCGAATCGAGTCGAGCTATACTCGAGCTCGACTCGATATGCAGGAAGAATTCTCGAGTTCGAGCGAGTAATATTATCGGAGCTCGATGCTTGCTCACAGAACTTGAGTTTGATTCGCATGAACTCGAGTTAATGCAAGCCTTATCGAGTTCGAGTTAGAAATTTTTATTTTCTTGACAATTTTTTAGTAAAAAGACATTATTGTCCTTTAAAAATTTTTATATGACTTGAAATATTTCGTAAATTCAACAACTCTTTTAGGTATAAGAGTAATTTTATAATACTCCCTTCGTCCCACTTTGATAGTTTTCTTTTCCTTTTTCATCTGTCTCAAATTGTAGTCCACTTTCCAATTGAATAATGTAGTTGTCTTTTAATTTTCCTAAAATACCCTTATTCAATGTAAGTTGTTGTTACTAGAAACCTACCCCATTTAATGAGAGTTGATTCTTTTTTTACCATCAATTCAAGTTTCCATAAAGTTGTACTCTAATTAATGTGAGGGTATTTTAGGAAAATAGCTACCTAAATTGATTGTTCCAACAAAATTAACTATTTTTTATTAAACTGTGTGAAAAAAGAATCATAACTATCAAAGTGGGACGAAGGGAGTAATAATATATTAAAGAATTAAAATTAAAAAACACGATAAGGTTCGATGAACCTTCGAGCATTGCTTCTCGATGCTTGACTAACAACTCCTCCAATTAAAAAGAAAAAAGAACAAAAAAGAAAACCATTATTTTAGAAACAACAGAGTTGTTATAGAAGTAAACTAACCAACTTTCAATTAAATTTTGTCAAGCTGATTTATACACATAGAAATAGCAAAATAGACCTAATTGATGTCCGTCGCCTGAGGTGTTATGCTCAGACATTCACCTCGGCACACTTTGAATCCACCGGGAGTCCATTGAAAAATATCTTCCAAAAAAATTGTTTTTTTTCAAATTATTGTAGCTTTAATTTTGAAAAATACTTATAACTGTGTTTTATAAGCCTCTAATATCAAGCTTGAATTCAACACAATGAATTAGTACATGCAAAATTTTATTATTAGACCCTACCTACTTCATTTTCATTCTTCATATACTTCGTTCTGACTTCCTTGGTGTAATTCTTCGTATTCAATGCGTCTTCTCATTTTTTGATACGTTTACTCAAACATAATATTAGTCCACTTTTATGTGTGCTAATCATCAAAATTAAAGAATTAAAAATCACAGAGTTTTCGATAACTTATTAGCCTACTACACAACCTTCCGTGGATTGAATGCAGATTCCGCTAGGTTATTTAGTGATTTGAGAGAGAGTCAATTCCATATATACTCCCAAGTTAAATATAAATTTCACTATATTATTTGGTGATCAATAACTAAATTAATCCCTTACTCCCTTTTATTCAATCTGCCACTCAAATTTGCTATGTTATCTAGCAGTGAAAGGATAATCCCCCTACTCCCTCTGATTTCTTAAATATAAAATTTGAATAATATTTAATGATCGATAACTAATTAACCTCCTATAACCTTCTATAATGTAGATACTGACTACTATTTAGTAATAGAATAAGAATCTACTCTATACTCTTTCTTATTCATTAAATATAGATTTCACTACACGAGATAAAATCAAATTCCTTTCATTTGGGGAAGCCTCCTATAACTAATTAATCCTTTACTCCCCTTTACGTATTAAAAACAATGTTCAACTCATCCTTTACATATAAAATTAGCCATAATTTTTATTGATTAAACATACAATGTTTTTACTCATTTTGGTGATACAAACATAATTAACTCTCTTTTTCTTGGTTACTTCCTTTTTTTTGGTTTCTTATAGAATTCATGTGCCATCTAGTGATAAAAAACTAAGCAATTATCTAAGTCTTTAATTGATTACAAACTTAATTCATTGCACACCATAGTGACCAAGTATCAATCAATTTCACGATACCTTTTAATGAATAATGCATACAATCGGCTAGACTTTTAATGCGCCTTATATTAATCAATACTTATATACTATTATTTTTGCTCACACGTAAAGAACACTTGCATATTAAGGAAGAAAATTTAATGTCTTTAGTCGTCGAGTAGTCTAAAAGAAGAAAAATTTAAAAGTTATAACATCAAAAACAATTCACTCAAAAAAGTTTAAACAATTTTTGAATTATAAAATTTTGTAACTTAGGGGGTTTTTTTTCATTATTATTTTTAATTTTTTTTCCTTTTTATGTTGACCAATGTCATTGTCTCAAAAAATTTTAACTTTTTCTTGGTATTATGTTATAATTTTTAATTTTTTCCTTTTTACAGTGACTTAATGTCTTTTTATAGTGATGTTCCAATTTTATATCTAAAATCTATATTAAATTGTCAATCTGGGATTAATTTGCTTCGTTTTTAAAATGTGAGGAACTAGTTTGCAGCATTTTAAAAGTGAGAGATAAAAAGTATTTTTTGCCAAAAGGTAAGGGATTAATTATCAGTGCTAATATATAGTTAATTGTGTATGTTAAGGTGTCGTGGTTGTGTGGCATATTTTATGCCAATGTACTGCAAAGGGCTTTTGTGAGATCTAGGCATTGTCACTACAGACCATAGTTGTCAAAATCGCGATCCGGATCGTACGATCCGGATAACCAAAATCGATCCGGATCGTATTCAGAGTCGCAAATCATATTAATCTCTGTAGGATCGCATAAAATCGTAGCAGGATCGTGTAGGATCGTAGGATCGTAGGATCGGTAGGATCGTACGATCCTACAATTTTTTTGTAAATTTGTGAAATACGAAGCTCCATTTTGCAAGTAAATGAAAATATTTGTGGTATATTTGTAATTTATTAAAGAATTGCAACCTTTAATTGCAATTAGGAGCTTTTAGTAGGATCTTACGATTCTCCGATCCGATCCTGTGAAATTAAAATCGATCCTACGTAGAATCCCGATTTTACAAACCTTGCTACAGACACTACAAGCCATATATTTCGTCTGTTTTATCCTCAAAGATAAAAAGGCATATATTTCGCCAATAGTGTGGGGTATTAATGAGGTCAGTTTTCCACTCTGCTCCAAAAAGAGGAAGCAGAGGTAAATGATGGAAAATTGACTTGATAAGAGAGGAATCTTGTAGTACTCCTACTATTTTGTTCTTTTTCCACCTATAAGAGTGCCGTGGTTATGGCCGACCAAGACTTTACTGTAGTATGCAAAACGGTGGACCTATAAAAGTGTCATGGTCATGACTTGCGTAGTTAATTTCTTAAGGAACACTTGCATATTAAGGAAGAGAAGTTAACGTATTTAGTCGCAGAGTAGTCTATAGTTACTTAAGCAATTATTACATGTTACATGCATCTGAGCTACAGCATTAGTCAACAGTTAATTTTAGATTTTTAAGGCATGGACACATTTATCTTTATTAAAGTGTAAGGCGTATAATGAATAATTTTTGCAAGGCAATTCATGCGTTGTGGTTTGGGTTATTTATCGTAATTTCGTATTGGTTGCTTTTTTTTTTTTTTAAACTCTTAATTAACGAATTCTGTTACCTTTTAGACTAAAAGTGATTCTATTTTCCTCCTACCTGGTTTTGGAAGCACGAATTTGTCCGAAAGATTCCTAGAATTCATATGGTTTGGTTTTCACTGGAGACTTGTAATGCCAAAGTGTATAACCACATTGGTGGTTGTATCACCATGTGAATCGAACTGCTTTCTTTTTGACTGGAATAATTTTTCTTGTACAAGTCAATGAATTAATGACAAAACTGGAAGAGAAAATGAACCGCGAGAATCCAACCACTCCTCTTCTGAGATCAGTTAAAAAACAACAGAGATTAGAGCTTTGCACTTTGCAGCTGCACCTAACAGGCAAGAGCTCCTCCTCCTTTACCGGTTGTTGAAAGCAAAGCTCACTTACCCAAGATGGCTGACCCTGTTATCTCTCTTGTTATTGAGAGAATTGGTGATCTGCTGATTAAAAAATCTGTTTTCCTGAAAGATGTTCGACGACAAGTTGAAAGACTCAAAAATGATCTGGTCCGGATGCGGTGTTTCCTGAAAGATGCAGATCAAAGGCAAGATGAAGATGAGAGGATTCGCAACTGGGTTTCTGAAATTAGAGCTGTGGCTTACGATGCGGAGGATATCATTGAGATCTTTGCCAGCAAAATTGAAAGCATAAAGGATAAGGGATTGGCATATTATCCCCGGCGGATTGTGAGCCTCAACAAGATCGGTAAAGAGATTGAGTCCTTACAGATAGGGCTCAATGACATAGCTGATAGCCGCGAAAAGTATGCTATCAAAAATCTTGGAGAGGGAATGAGTTCACCCGGAAAAGAATTTCGAAGGCTTCGCCGAACCTCTCCTTTCAGCGAGGACAAGGATATAGTGGGCTTCGAAGAGATTACAAAATCGCTCGTGGCAGAACTTTTGAAAGAGGACGAAAACCGCCGTGTGGTTTCAATCGTTGGCATGGGAGGTGCTGGTAAGACAACTCTAGCCAAAAAAGTTTATAACCATGCTGATGTCAAGAAAAGATTCAACTGCCGTGCTTGGGTCTGCGTCTCTTCAAGCTACGATCACAAAGAGATGCTGAGATCAATCATAAAGCAATTGAATGCAATGGATAACAAGCTACTTGAAATGCTGGAAAGGATGGAAGAGGAAGACTTGGAACGAAGGCTCTATCAAGATCTACAAGACAAATGTTATCTTGTGGTAATTGATGATGTATGGGAGGAAGAAGCGTGGGATTGTCTTGCTAGGGCCTTTCCTGATGTTAATACATCAAGTAGACAGCTACTTACAAGTCGCAAAAGGGATGTTGCCCAACACGCAGATGCACTTAGCAAACCACATGAGCTGAAAACTTTGGGGCAGGAAGATAGCTGGCAGTTGTTCCTCAGAAAGGCCTTAGGCCATGGGGATAACGCTGGATGTCCTCCGGATTTGGAAGAAGTAGGCAGAGAGATTGAAAGGAGATGTGCTGGTCTGCCACTAGCCATCACGGTTATAGGTGGTCTGCTTCTGACAAAGAGAAGGTTGAAGAGTGAGTGGGAGAAAGTTCTCAACAGCTTCAACACAAACCTCTCAAGGAGCCAGAGTGGAGTATCAGCAATTCTGGAATTAAGTTATGCAGATCTTCCTGCCAATCTGAAATTTTGCTTTTTGTATTTGGGTTTGTTTCCCGAAGACTCCGTGATTTCTGTGCGCAAGTTGATCCATATGTGGGTTGCAGAGGGAATAATGCAGAAAAGAAGCGCAAAAAAATTGGAGGAAACTGCAGCATATGATGATGTGGAACAACTTTGTAGCAAAAATATGGTCCAGGTGGCAGAAATGACTGTTGATGAGAGGATTAAAAGCTGTAGAGTCCATGATTTATTGCGAGAGCTTGCAATAAAAAAGGCAGAGGATGAAAATTTTTTTCAGATCCACGACACCAGAGATGATAAAATATCAGCCAAATCCAGGTATCTTGCTGTTCATATTCTCCCAGGGGATAAAAATTATTTTGGGTCTTCAACCCCTCCTCTCCGGTCTCTACTTTTTTTCAATGTCCACGATTACAGGGAAAACATTAGTTTTGGCTTCAAAAGTTTAAGAAAGCTTAGGACACTGGACCTTGAGAATGTTATGATGGATTATATGCCAAAAGAAATTAGTAAAGTCAGGCTTCTGAGGTATCTCAATTTAAGAGAGACACGGATTGGAAAGCTCCCTCATTCCTTCGGTTGCTTGCGATACCTACAAACTCTTGACATACGGACCGTTAACTTAGTGATAGTTTCAAATTTCATTTGGAAGCTTGAAAGTTTACGGCATCTATATGCACGTGATATAAGGTGTAATGTGCCTCTTAAGATTGAAGGATTGAGGAATCTTCAGACTGTGTCAGGCATACACTTTGATCACATTATGCGCAATAATATGATGACTTTGACAAGTCTTCAGGAACTGGTGATGAGAGTAGATGATAGGTCAGAGATAGACAAACTCTGCTTGCACTTATCTGAGGTTGGAAGCCTAAAGACATTTCATCTTTACCGTGCTTTAGGAAGCGAGTGGCCATCTCTAGGTGGACTTTCTAAACTCCATCATGTAACAGAGCTTAAGCTATCCGGGATGCGTTTGAGAATGCTGCCTCCTGATTTCCCTCCTAATCTCTCTCGCTTGTCTTTGGAAGAAACATTCCTCATGGTTGACCCAATGCCAGTACTAGAGAAGTTGGGACAACTGTCGTTCCTCAAAATGAAAGTTGCATATGGGGGACCACAGCTAGTCATATTTAGGCATGGGTTTCACCTATTGAAATTCCTTGAGCTCAGCCGCCTATATGATTTGGATGAAATAAAGGTGGAGAAAGGTGCATTGCCACAGCTCCAGTGCCTGAGAATCAGGAGCTGCAGCAGATTACGGAAGTTGCCGGAAGAGCTGAAGCACATATCTACTCTTGATAAGCATGAGCTTGTGGACGTGCCAGAAGATTTTATCAGTAGGATTGATGCGGACACAGTATCCAATGTCCCTAACTTCAGAATATTTGACTTGCCGAAGGAAAGGTGGTGGTATTCGTAATCATGCATAGAATGCAAGCTATGTCGTATAGTGATTAATAGAATTATTTCAAGTTTTTATCAAAATATATAAATAAAATGAATGTTTCAGATTCAACATAACTTTTGTTTTCCCCAATTCAGTAAACTTGCTTTGCCACAATTTCACTCTTTGTTTTCGTCATATAATTCAAACAAGCTTTTTAAGTCCATTTTTTTTATTTGAAATCTCACACTTCAATACTACCTTTTCTAATTATCCCACTTTTAAACAAAGAATGACTCTCTGTTATTAATGATTTTTTGGATAACTAACAGTGCCTACAGCTGTACCTTATATGATTTGTATCTCTCTATCAATTTACATTGCATATAGCATATTAATACAAGTAAATAATTAAATAAACAAAACAGTTTATATCTTAGGTGGGTCTCAGAAACCCTGATATTAAACTCTTGGGATTTGGAAATGTCTAATTCAATAAAAATATCTAGAGGTATTTGGTTGATTCTAATTTTTCCCATGCTGTCCAAACTGAAAAAGAGAATAAGAAAATAAAAACCTCTATTTATGTACGGGAAGAGAAGAAAAGAATGGTTGTAACAAACAGATCAAGGAATTCATCCCATATTAGCAGCCCACATACAAGACATAACGGATCTTAGCTTAATGTTTACGATATGCTCATTTGAGTTTCAATCCGCTAATGATAGCATTAATTGTCTCAGTCATAAACTGAGTCAGCAGGCAATGCATTTACATTTTGATGAGGAATTCTTCGATCCTCAGTGTTTCAGTACACTTTTGTTCAGAAAAACTTGAGCCTTTGCTCGAATAGTGCCTTTGCTCGAATAGTGTAATTTCTCTATTAGTAGAAATAAAAACTTTTACCGTTTCGGAAAAAAAAAGAAGGAATTCATCCCATATAAAGTGTTGGTCCGTCTGAAAGTGAGGATTAATTGCTTCCTAAATACTACTCACCATACATATAAGATGTTAAAAAATAAACTTAAGCATGTGAAAATCAAATAAAAAGCTATTCATTTAAGTTGTTTGGGGTAAACATTGAAGGGAAAAACATTACTGAGGGGAAAATTTCTGAATACGGGAATAATTGTAGGCTATTTATTATGAAAGGTACATGTGATGTTATTTTTTCGAATGTGTTCGTAGTAATTTCATTTTTACAAAAATCAGTGCAAATCTCATGTGTAATGGATAGTCCAAGATTGTACGCAGTTTAAAAGTTTGACACTCCCTTTTAATTCTTCGTGATTACTAGTTAGTTGATTCTATAACATGTATCGCCTTGAAGGAAATGTATATACGTCTCAAAAAAAAGCAAGCGTAATTCTGCTTATAAAGAAAACTTATATAGTTTTTTGTGAACTATTGGAGAATTAGAGTGAAAAGAACAGTTTTAAAAGAAGGGTTAATTATAGAAACTCCCTTTGGTTAAAGTTGCAGTTCACCGCCTAATGTTTATTTCTTCTCACTTTGCCTCCTATTTCAGTCCAACTAGTCAAATTAACCACTAAAATAGTAGGGTTAACAAAAGTGCCCTGCTACATAGTTATAAGAAAAGACCCCAAGGTTCTTGAGATGTTCATATTACAAGATATGATTTTTACCATAGAATAATTATTTTTTTAATCTCTTGCATAAAATAAAATGGAACACTGATATTCTTTTTCTTTTCAAAATCATCATTCATGCAATTAATTTAAGTGGGAAGACCCTGAATTTTGTGGAAAAAGATGACAAAATGTATTGTGTGTTATGTTCATTGAATTGCCTAATTAAATCTTCTTTCTACCTACAATCACGTGACTCGATAAATTGTTGAGAAAAATTGATTATAAGTATGCAAATATTGTAGTTTTAAAAAATTCTTTACACGAACAAGTCTAAATTTATACCTCATTTTATAATTAGAAAAAAGCAAAAAAATTCCAAACTAAATATGACATTTTTATCTCATATACATCACATCACAAAAAGTGCTACAATAATTATTTCAAATAATTATTTGGAATAATGCTCTACTCTATCCAAACAGATATTTCATAAATCTAGACTCTCTCGTGTTATACTAACATTATTTGAATCATTAAACCACAAATGCTTTCCTTCTTTCTTTCTTTGGTTTGCTAGTTGTTCCTGGGAAATGACTGATAATTTGCAACACAATCAAGTTGAAGAAAGAAAAATTGTGCAAAAGTGGAGAAAATGGTATTCCTCGGCCCTTTGCTCCATGAATTTATAGCAGTAATTTTACCATAGTCAATTAAGGAAACAGGAACATTAGCTGAAATTGTACTAAACATCAGTTATAAATAGTTTGAAGTAGATTGGTGTACTGAAATTTGGTCCTATCGGCTAGGGAGATTAAATAATAACTATAACGCTATAAGGGTGGTTCTAGGAAATCTTTACTTATTTACATAGTAATGACATTAACGCATTATAAAAGGATACCTTTTTTTTTTTTTTAAGTAAGTCCACCGCTACGACATTATTACAAATGGTCCTATACTAGAGAAAAGGAAAGAGCGATAGACCTATCTAATTTATTGAGAGACTCGAAAGGAGAGGAAATGCTGTCAAGGGGGTTCAACCCCCTGACTTATGCTCGGGGAGGGACTTAGTTTCCTTCTTGAGGTTTATGTTGGGGGACTTATGCTCGGGGAGGGACTTAGGGGCTGCTTGTTTCACAGATTGGAATCGGAAATAGAAATGGAATCATAGATTCTGGTTTTGGAATTAAACTTTTCATTCCAATATCTAGCTTGGTTCACACATTGAAATTAGTATCATTCCAATTCCTGATGCTTGGTTTGATGAGTGTTTCGGAATTAAATGCAATTAAATTCCAAATTTACCCCTGATATAACAATTCTTATAAAATAAAAGAATTACACATACAACAAATTAACATCTCTATAATTGTAACTACAATAGTTATTAACTTTTTGATAAAACATAAGAAAATCATAAATTTTAAAAAAATTAATACCAGAAAATAAATATAGTGGCTGCATTAACAAGGAGTAAATTCCCAAAAAGAGGGAGTTTTTAACTAACTTCCCAAAGGGTAACGATTTTTAGTCTCTTCCCAAAGGGTGAAAAATGCATCCAAGGAATGTGTTCTTCCAAATAAAAACGCAACTTTCAAATACGTTATTTTAATTTTTATAAATTTGTTTAAATATGAAAAATTGGTTAAATAGCGCATAACATACCAACTCTTTATGAGAAACTGGCAGGTTTTGTAGTATGTTTTGTACCAACTCTTTATGGGAAACATACCAACTCTTTATAGGAAAAATTGGTTAAATAGCGGCCAAAGGAAAACTAGTATGTTTTATATTTAACATAAATTAAAGATGTGGAAGTCAAAAAAAAAAAAGAAATAGCGCATAAGATACCAACTCTTTATGGGAAACTAACAGGTTTTGTAGTATGTTTTGTGTCAGTTCTTTATGAGAAACACACCAGCTCTTTATAGGAAAAATTGGTTAAATAGCAGTCAAAGGAATACTAATATGTTTTGTATTTAACATAAATTAAAGGGAAAAGAGTCCCAATAGCCCTCCAACTCTTTCCCAGATAAAGTTTTAGCCCTCCAATAATTAACAATAAAGGTTTGGCCCTCGATCTAATAAAATAGTATATTTATGACCCTTCTGTCAAATTCAGCAGTTAAAATTGACGGGAAGCATCATCTCGTGCGACGCGCGACCAAATATCAAGGGCATTATGGTCTCTTTCCTAGGGAACAAGTTCAAGATGTCGTTGGGTCTTCCGGTGGCGGCAATGGTGAACTGCGCCGATAACAATGGGGCAAAGAACCTCTATATCATTTCGGTGAAGGAGAAGCAAGAGTACTGGGCTGCCTTGGAAACGATTTTATCGTTCTCTGGCACATAGCAATCCATTGAGTGATTCCCATTTCCCTGTTCCTGTTGCCCCTTCTCAATTTGATTATTCCAGTCATTATCCTCAGTTATCTAATGATTCCAAAAAGATTGAGTTTGCGGACATAGGTTGTGGTTTTGGAGGGCTTTTAATTAGCCTTTCGACGCTTTTTCCTAAAACCCTTATGATTGGAATGGAACTCAGGGATAAGGTGACAGAGTACGTAAAGGAAAGGATTTTAGCACTGACGACTAGTAATCCTGGGCAGTATCAGAATATTTCAGTGGTTCACACTAATTCAATGAAGTACATTCCCAATTACTTTGAGAAGGGGCAGCTTAAAAAGATGTTTTTTCTTTTCCCAAACCCTCACTTTAAAGAAAAAAATCATCGCCGTCGTGTTATTAGTCCTTACTTGATGGATGAGTATGCTTATGCTCTTGCAGTTGGTGGAATTATTTACACCATTGCTGATGTGGAAGAACTGGGGGAGTGGATGAAATCTTGTTTGGAGGGGCACCCCTTGTTCGAACCCTTACCGTGCAAGAGCAGGAAGATGATCCAGTTGTAAAGCTTTTGAGTACTGCCACTGAGGAAAGACAGAAGGTTGCATGAAATGGTGGACAAACATACCAAGCAGTATATAGACGCAGAACTGGTCCTATTGAATGATCAATCAGGCTTATCGTGAGGAGAAGCAAGAGCAACGGCAGCAGTGGCGGTGACACAGGTGGCAGGGTGGTGGAGAGGTCGGTGGGGCGGAGGTGCTTGGTAAACCATTTAGAAACTATAATATCCTTGATATTTGGTCGCGCATCTCACGAGATAATGTTTCCTGTTAATTTTAACTGTTGGATTTGACAGAAGGGCCACGAATATGCTATTTTATTAGATCGAGGGCCAAACCTTTATTGTTAATTATTGGAGGGCTAAAACTTTACCTCGGAAAGAGTTGGAGGGGCATTGGGACTCTTTTCCCTAAATTAAATATGTGAAAGTTAAAAATAAAAAAAGAAATAGCTCATAAGATACCAGCTCTTTATGGGAAACTGGCAGGTTTTGTAGTATGTTTTGTACCAACTCTTTATGGAAAACATACCAGTTCTTTATAGGAAAAACTGGTTAAATAGTGGTCAAAGGAAAACTAGTATGTTTTGTATTTAACATAAATTAAT